GGATTTATCCACCTGTCGTCTGTGTAGTTACTGACTTTTTGATTGGATCTCTGAGTGGACACCCAGATTGTTGATGATGGAGTATTTCTTTTACTTGGTTTTCCTTCTACCAGTCTAGCCCCTTCGCTGTACGACTGCTGAGGTCCACTCCAGGCCCTGCTTGTCTGGGGTGCACCTGTAGCGGCTGTGGAACAGCGAGGGATGCTACCAGTTTCTTTTTCTGCTGTCTTTGTCCCAGGATGATGTCTGCCGAATGTCAGTCTTATGGATATAGAGGGGTCAGGGAGTTGCTTGAGGAGACAGTCTGTAGGAGCTCAAGTGCTGAGCTGTGAGCTCTGTTGTTCATTCAGGGCTGCTAGGCTGCTATGTTTAGTTCTGCTGTAACCTAACTCATAAGAAAACCCCTTTTTTTTCCTCAGATGCTCTGTCTCGGAGGGGGGGGGTTGGGGCTTTCCTTGTGAGTGTCCACCTCACTGTCCTGCCCAGCTAGGAGGCAGTCTAGTCACTTTTTGCCTGCCGAGGCTCCGCCCTGCTGGTGTGAGGTTCGCCCTTTTCCTGCAGGCTCCGCCCTTCTGCTGTGGTCTCCGCCCTGTTGCCTCGGGCTACGCCCTGCGGTGGAGTCTCTCTGTTGTACCTGGTTGCCTCGGCAACGGCAGGCTGCGTCAGCAATGGGCGTGTACCTCAGTAGGGGCTGATTGCCTCGGTAATGGCTGACGCCCCTCCCCCGCGGAGCTGCACTTTAAAAAAAAAACCTATTCACCGGGAGCGTTTGGAATCGCCGTTTTGTTTGTCGCACTGCGCTCCCCCAAACGCTGAGTCCCTGGGATTTCCTGGGCTGGGTCACAGTTCAAGACCCGTTCAGTCTCAAGTTCAGCCCTCTCGGGTCTTAGCTTGCCGGTTCAACAGGGCACCCGTAACAGTGCGCTTTTGTATGGAGCGCTGTGGAGCGCCTCTGCGCTTCGGCGCAGGCCGGAGCCGCACCAGCTGCCGGCTACGCCAGCGGAGACCTCTGCCTGGTGTCCCGCGTCTCTTTTATACCTGGGAATTTCCCCGTTCTGTGGGCAACTAGGATCCGTATGGAAATGCTTCCCCGACTCACCCTCTCCGTGCGTCCAGCGAGAGCTTCAATCCTGGGTTGTTCTCACAGCGCCATCTTGAGTCCTCCAACCCTGGATATTATACATATCATGGGTATATTATTAATATAGTGTGTTAACACTGGTTATTATAAAGATCATGGATATTTCATTAATATTAACACTGGGTATTAGCACTAGATATTATAAATATGTATATTTTATTAATATCATAGTGTGTTCACGCTGTGTTAACACTACATATTATAAACATCAAAGATATTTTGTTAATATCTTAGCATAACACTGGATATGGTAAATATCTAGATATTTTATTAATAACTGTTTAACACATAATGTGTTAATATAGTGTGTTATCACTAGATATTATAAACATCACAGATATTTTATTAATAACTGTTTAACACTTTGTGGTAATACTAGATACTATAACTATCATGGACATTTCATTAATATTAAACTGCAATAACACTGTGTGTTAACATTAGGTATTATGAATATCATGGATATTTTATTAATATCAGTGTTTAACATGATATAAGTATCATTGATGTTAACATCATAGTGTGTTAACACTAGCTTTTTTGAATAACATAGATATTTCATTAATATGCTAACACTAGATTTTACAAATATTGTAGATATTTTGTAAATCTCATAGTATATTAACACTAGATATTATAAATATCATATATTTTATTAATATAGTGGGTTAACACCGTTTTAACTCTAGAGATTATAAATACCATAACTGTTTTATTGATATCATAGTGTGTTAACACCAGATATTTTAAATATCATGGATATTTTATTAATATAGTGTGTTAACACTAGATATTATAAAGATTATATTCTATTAATATCTTAGTGTGTTGACACTAGATTTTTAAATACTATGGATATTTCATTAATATCATAGTGTGTTAACACTAGATATTATAAATATGGATATTTCATTAATATCATAGTGTGTTAACACTAGATATTATAAATATCATAGATATTTCATTAATATCATAGTGTTTAACACTAGAGAATGTAATAATTATGTATATTTTAATATCAGCACATTATCACTAGATATTATAAATATAATATTTTATTAATATCAGTGTGTTAACACTAGATTTTTAAATACTATGGATATTTCATTAATATCATAGTGTGTTAACACTAGATATTATAAATATCTTGGATCCTTTTTAATGTCATAGTGCGCTAACCAGCCTGTGCAACAAAGCAAGACCTCTTCTCTACAAAAATATTTTTCAATATTTAATAAAATAAAATATATATAGCTAGGCATGGTGATGTGTACTTGTAATCTCAGCTTCGCAGGAGGTTGAGGTGGGCAGATCTCTTGAGGTCAGGAGTTTGAGACCAGCTTGGGCAACATAGCAAGACTCCTCACTCTACAAAAAATTAAAAAAAAATAGCCAGGTATGGTGGCACTCAACTGTAGTGCCAGCACTGGGGAGCCGAGGCAGGAAGATGGTGTGAGCCCAGGAGGTTGAGGCTGCAGTGAGCTTATTATAAGTGCACAACTGCACTCCAGCCTGGGTCATGGAACAGGCCCTTGTCTCACAATACAAATAGAAATACAAATAAAATAATGAAATCTCAAGTCAGAGCCTTTTGGCTCTGCAGCCCTTGCAACTCTGGAACCGTCTACTGGGGTTTTTATCACTGGAAATGAGGAGACCCCTGCCCAGTGTTCTTGCCTGACTAATCAGAGTTTTTAAAAATATATTAATCGGGCTGGGCATAGTGGCTTATGCCTGCAATCCCAACACTTTGGGAGAATGAGGCAGGTGGATTACCTGAGGTCCGGAGTTTGAGACCAGCTTTGCCAACATGTCAAAACATCATCTTTATTAAAAAAATACAAAAATTAGCCAGATATGGTGGTGGATGCCTGTAATCCAGGCTACTTCAGAGGCTGAGGCAGGAGAATCATTTGAACCTATAGGGCAGAGGTTGCAGTGAGCCGAGATTGCACTACTTTACTCCAGCCCCAGTGAAAAAGTAAAACTCTGTCTTAAAAAAGAAAGTATTATATCAACATGTAATGGTTTTATTATTATTATTATTTAAGATGGAGTTTAACTCTTGTTACCCAGGCTGGAGTGCAATGGCACAATCTCGGCTCACTGCAACTTCCACCTCCCAGGTTTAAGCAATTCTCCTGCCTCAGCCTCCTGAGTAGCTGGGGTTACAGGTGCCTGCCACCACACCTGTCTAATTTTGTATTTTTAGTAGAGACAGGGTTTCACCATGTTGGAGGGCTAGTCTCAAACTCCTGACCTCAGATGATCCGCCCACCTTGGCTTCCCAAAGTGCTAGGATTATAGGCACAAGCCACTATGTCCAGCCAATTTGATTATTAATATGTAATGAATAATAAATATTTTAAAAATTTTGTTTTGTATTAGTTATATCAACACATAATGGTTTTATTAATATATAATGAATAAAAATATTTTTAAAATTTTGTCTATTTTTTAAACTTTATACAAAGAAAAAGTCTTAGAGATCTTATATAAAGTTTAAAAATGTAAAGGTATGCTAGACCCCAAAAGATTTAAAACTTATATTTAGAAATATTCAGAGTAAGACACATACAACTTGCTACTTGATCTATTGTCTTTCTTTCTTTTTCGTTTTAGGAGATGGGGTCTTACTCTGTCACCTAGGCTGGAGTACAGTGGTGCAATCACAGCTCACTTCAGGCTTGAACTCCTGGGCTAAGGACCCTCCTGCCTCAGCCTCCCGACTAGCTGGGACTGTAGGTATACATGATGACACCTGGTTAATTAAAAAAAATTTTTATGGACATAGGTTCTCACTTTGTTGGTCAGGCTGGTATCAAACTCCCGGCCTCTAGTGATCCTTCCACCCCTGCCTACCATCCTAGAGGTGTGATCCACCACAACAAGCACTTGTTCAATTTTCTAAAAAAATAAAAATTCTAAAGAAAGACTGGGGGGTGCGGATGAATCACTGTTTTTAGACACCTTCATTTTGAGGTGGGGAGTTCCACCGATTGTTTCTATATAGATATAAATCTTAAAAAAAAAGTTGTTCAACTATTTTATTATCCTAGATTATATGAAAGTATTTGTTGTGTGTAGGGGAAAAAAAACCCAGCTCTGCAGACTTAATAAAAATGACAGACTGGGGGAAAAAAAAAAAAAAAAAGAAAGAAAGACTGGGGGATGATGGCAGGAAGATAAAAGTAAAAAAATGGAAGAATCAATTCTAATGATTTAATCCCACATATTCTTTTGACAGCAAGAAGAACTTTTAATAGACACGTTTTTTACCAACAAACAAAAGGCAAGTAAACAATGTTGTAAAGGAATTTCAGCACACACCATAATATTCCCCCTTTTCTGACATCAGTTCGGGAGAGTCTTCGTGGTTTACTTACAGCTATCAGTATTTTGATCCTCTGGTCATTTTTATCAACTTTCTCATCTGTTAACTTCTCTCCAAGGTATGTCATAACGTGACATACTGCTGCTGCACAAACATGGCCAGGGTCATCCTATTATACACGTGGAATGCTTTCCTCATTTCTTTTTTTATGCTCTGTCTTTGTGTTTTGCATTTTTCTTACCTTTATTGTTAGAAACTCTAGAAAGTCAATTGTACTAATTTATCACCATTTGCTTCATTAATTTATATAGGGTCCAGCCCTACAGGGTTCTGTGAGCCACTCCTGGCTGGTGCAGAGATGAAAATTTGTAGAAATAAAAGACACAAGAAACAGATACAGAGAAAAAGAGAGTTGGGGCCCAGGGGTCCACTGCTACCCAAATCTCGGAGACCAGCCGTGGTCCTGAAAGCCGGGAGGCTCTCACTTCTGAGTTGCAAATCTGGGGGCTGGGTAGGTAGGGCATGGTGGAGACTGGGGGCAGGGTAGGTAGGGTGTGGCAGTGATAGGGTCAAGTACATCATATGTGATTCAGGTAGGGGCTCAGGAAGTTCTGGCACCTGAATTGAGGTAAAGAGCATAATGCATCAGCACTTTTCCCATACTTATCAAGAAAAAGCTAAAACATTTAAGATTTATATTACTATTACTGATTATCTTTTCTAAGACAAAAGGAACCAGGTGCAGAAGTAGAACATAAGAGTCAACATGGAATGTGACCACTGAAGCACAGCATCACATAGAGACATTTAAGCCCCCAGATGTCTGCAGGCCAACATGACAGCCATCAGGCCTTACCACAAGAACTTCGAGAAGTGGAGTTTTTCTCCTAACTTCCCCAGGAAGGAGCTGTCTCAGCCATTTTGCACATCTCCTTCCCTAGCTGGCTAAACAGTGCGTGCTTTCACAGCACTGGTGCTGCTGCACAGCCAAGGCACCCTCCAGCAGCGCTTATGTGGGCATGACAGAGGGCTTAAAGCATCTTGCCTTAGTGTCATTTATTTCACAGTGTCACCTCAGATTCACACTTCTGACCTGAGAGGCATTAGTGAAAGAATTAAGATCACCTATGAATAACTAAGATCAGATATTAATAACTAATAACTACTATGGTTTTATTTCTAATCACTTTCTGCATTATTTGTATGGAAATAGGCTGAGGCCTTTTGCTCCTGCCTCAGCGCTTATGGGATCTCCCCACTACAAATTTATAATTTGCTTATGGCATATTTCCCCAACAGACCTCATTAAAATTTCTAACTTTTTTTTTTTTTTCCTGAGGGAGGGTCTTGCTCTGTTGTCCAGGCTAGAGGGCAGTGGTGCTATCACAGCTGACTGTAGCCATGATCTCCCAGGTTCAAGTGATCCTCCCACCTCAGCTCCCCAGATGGCTCAGACTATAGGTGTTTGCCACTATGCCCAACCAATATTTGGACTTTTCCTATATGTGGGTTCCAGAGGACTGACTGTGAAACGTGAGTATGCATGAATTTTGGTATATGCTGAATGAGGGGTTGGAACTAATCCTCTCTTTATACTGGGGGATGACTGTATATGTTTTTATAATTATGCTGTAGGACACATATTGTTCCATATCCTTGCAAATGATAGTTTTAATGCCAAATAAATTTTAATTGAATGGAATAATAAGAGTACCAGCTGGCCAGGTGTGATGGCTTACACCAGTAATCACAACACTTTGGGAGGCTGAGGCAGTAGGGTGGCCTGAGGCCAAGAGTCTGAGACAGGCCACAGTAAAAAACGAAGTCACCATCCCGATGGAAAAATACATGAATTAGCCTACTGCAGTGGCATGTGCCTGTAGTCCTAGCTACTTGGGTCCAGGGAGGCTGAGACTGCAGTGAGTAATAATCGGGCCTCTGCACTCCAGCCTGGGTGACAGATTGAGACCCTTTCTCAAAACGACCAAAAACTAGCACTAACATTAACTGATCTTTTACCAGGTGCCTATAAATACCAATTTAATTTCTTATAACTGTTACTTACTTCATTTAACCACTCACTCTGTCATAAATTACTCCCAGATTTTCACTGTTTTTGCAGATGACCTTTTGTTTAGATTGAATTGTCTCCCAAGGTATTTCCAGAAGTGAATGAAAGGCTGGTTGCCTTGCCGGAGGCCAAATGGACACACCCATTCCTCTCCGTGCCTGAAAACCAAGTCATCATTCTGCGCACATTACTCAGCATCTGGCCTCTCCACGGGGGCTCCCCACACCTATTTCCGCATTCCAATCTCAGTCCTGCACTCATCAGCAAACTATGCACTCGGCACCACTGAAATTTAAAAAAATCCCGCCAAGACCTGCCCTATGGCAGCTTGCCCTAAATGTCCTCAACCTGCCCACTTGCCAGCAGCCTCGCCTGGCTGCCAATGGCGGCTCGCCTCGTCCGTGTCCAGTCCCTTCATAACCAATGAGACTACCTCCGCTTTTTTTCCCCCGCAGCCAGTCAACTACATCCACTTCCTATACAACCCCACGTTCTAAGAAGAGAAGAGCGACTTCTCTGGTCCCATTCCCGGACCATAGAACCTTGCCCAGGAGCTGAATAAATTGGCTTTTACTTTTTTACTCTGGTCTCCGTTTCCTGATTTAACTCGGCAATAAACCTTACAGTGAGATTACTGTGAGTCATGGTAAATGGACATTCTCATTGCCCTTGACATAAATTGACAGGGTTTTGGGTGCCTCCCAGCTATAATCCCAGCATTACGTATAAGGAGGGAGGCTAAGGCAGGAGGATTGCTTGAGGCCAGCAGTATGGTGAGACATAGACAGTGACCATCTCTACTATTTTAAAAAATTGCCAAGCTTTACCTTGGAAGGCTTACATACAATTTAAACACCCCCCATATATAAGAAAATGCCCATTTTACTGTACCTTTACCAGCACATGGTATTATAATACGTTATTTTAAAAGATTGTTTAAAATAGGTAAAAGACCTCATGTTGTTTTATTTATTTGTCACATTTCAACATCTTTCCTTAGCTTATTAGCTGTTTCTTTTCTGTCTGTAAATGGTTGTCTTTTTTGTTTTGTTCTTTGAGACAGGGTCTTGCTCTGTCACCCAGGCTTGACTGTAGTGGTATAATCATAACTCACTGTAACCTTGACCTCCCGGGCTCATACTACCCTCCGTCTTCAGCTTCCTGAGTAGCTGGGACTACAAGTGTGCACCACCACACCCAGCTATTTTTTTTCTTTTTTCATATAGAGACAGGGTCTTGCTGTGTTGCCCAGGCAGGTCTCTAGCTTCTGGCCTCAAGCGATCCTCCTGTATTGGCTTGTTATGTTGCTGGAATTTCAGGTATAAGCCACCATGCCTGGCCTTGGCTAGTCCTATATATTCTCTAGAGTTCTCTTTACTTTGTGCTAGCCAATTTCTCACTATGCTGTTCCCCTGTTATAGTGAGTAATTCTCTGCATTAAATTTTACCACTTTAAACTTTTAAGTGGTTTATGTCTCCTGATTGGACTCTGACTAATACAGAGTTGATGCTCGAAGGGTCCCAGGAGACAGACCCATGCAGATGATATTTGGGCATAGGTTTGGTTATTCAAGGGGCAGTGCTGAGCTCCTTACCAATGGGAAATGGGATGCTGGTTATTTTCGAGAATTGACCTTATAATGACTCAAGCTACCACTTACTGTTGATTGTGATGAAATGCCAGCTCAGGCACATGCTTTGGGAGCAAAGTGGTTGCTGCACTTGACCAACATAATGACTGACATGGAAAGGGTCCTTTTGGGTGTACTTGAGCAGGGGTGCCCAGCCCCTGAGCCATGGAGCTGTAAGGAGCCACGCAGCAGGAGGTGAGTGGTGTCTAGTTAGGGAAGCTTCGTTTGTATTTACAGTCATTCCCTGTTTCTCACATTCCTGCCTGACCTCTGCCTTCTCTGAGAGCAGCCGCAGCATTAGATTCTCTTAGGAGCACGAATTCTATTGCAAACCAGGCATGTGAGTGATCAAGTTTGTGTGGTCCCTGTGAGAATCTAATGCCTGATGATCTGTCACTTTCTCCCATCACACTCAGATGGGACCATCTAGTCGCAGGGAAACAAGCTTAACATGCCTACTAATTCTACATTATGGTGAGTTCTATAATTATTTCATTATATATTACAATATAATAATGGAAATAGTGTCCAATAAATGTAACGTGCTTGAATATTTTCGCTCCGCTCCTGCCTGCCGGCAGCCTCTCCAGACCTAGAACTTTTTCTAGTTGGCTAGATGCCAAGCTCATGGCTCACAATGGTCTATTTAGGCCCATACCCTACCTCATGGTAGTCTTTGCAGATGAGGCTACTGCCTCACGGCAGCTTCCACAGGCCCAGGTTCATCATTACAATGGCCTCTTTAGGCCCAGCTCCTGCCTCCCAGCATTCTCTCCAGGCCCAGAACTTTCTCAAGTCGACCTCACCAGGCCCAGCTCCTGCCTCTCATCGACCTCCCAAGGGACAGCGTTTGCTTTACGATCACCTTCCAAGACCCAGCTCCTGTTTTTCAGTGGCCTCTTGAAGCCCAACTTTCACCTGTTAGTGGCTCATGCAGGCCCAGCTCCTCCCTTACAATGGCCTCTTTAGTCCTAGCTCCTGTCTCTGGGTGGCTTATCTGGGCCCAAAGTGTCCATAAGTCAGCCTCTCAAGTCCCACCTCTTCCTCTCAGCTGTGCCTAGAGGGCCAGTGCCTGCCTCACAACAATCTCTTTTGGCTCAGCTCCTGCCTAGCTCCTAGCAGCATTTTTAGGTCCAAAACTGCCTGAAGTCAAGCTCTCCAGGTCCAGGTTCAGCCTCCCGATGGCTTGGACAGGCCCAGCTCCTGAGTGACAGTGGCCTCTCCAGCTCAGCTCTTGTCTCCCAGTGGATTCTCCAGGCCCAGTTTCGCCTCATGGAGGTCTTCCCTGAAGAAGTTTCAACCTACCTCCTGGCAGCCTTGACAGGCCCACGTCCTGCCTCACACTAACCTCAGTAGGCCCAGCTAACAGTGGCCTCTGCAGGCCCAGCTCCTGTCCCCTGATAGGCTGTTCAGGCCCAAAACTTCCTCAAGTTGGCCTTTTTAGGCACAGCTCCTGCCTCTCACTGGCCTCTTTAGGCACAGCTCATGCCTCTCGGTGGCCTCTTCACACCCATTTCCTGCATCCTGGTGGCCTCACCAGACAACTTTCTCAAGTCTGCCATTCCAGGTCCAAATCCTGCCTCCTATTGGCCTCTACGGGCCCAAACTCTGCCTCACAGCAAACTCTCCATGCCCACCATCTGCCTCGCTGCAGAGCCTACGTTCCAAGCTCTTGCCTTTCATAGCCTTGACAGGCCCAGCTCCTGCCCCCTGACATACTCTCCAGGCTGGAATCTTCCTGAAGTCAGCCACCCCAGGCTGAGCACTTGCCTCACACTGGGCTCTTTGGGCCCAGCTTATGCCTCTTGGCAGCCTCCCCAGGCGAAGCTACTACATGCCAGCAGCCTCTCCAGGCTCAGCTGCTGGCTCCCGTCTGCTTCTACAGGCCTAACCTCTGCCTCACAGCAGACTCTTCATGCCCAGCATCTGCCTCACCATGGGCCCACCAAGCCAAGCTCCTGCCTTTTGGCAGGCTCTACACGCCCAGTTCCTGCCACCCAATGGCCTCACAGGGGTCTTTCCAGACCTAGCTTTTGCCTCATGGCTAGGTTGCTGCCTGTCCCCCGGCAGCCTGGATAGGCCCAGGTCTTGCCACACACTGGCCTCTCTATGCAAATCTTACACCTCACAATAGCATCTCCAGGTGCAGCTTTTGTCCCAGAATGGTGTCTCCAGGCCAAAAGCTTCCTCAAGTCAGCCTCTCTAGGCCCACCTACTGCCTCCTGGTGGCCTCTGAACACCCAAATCCTTCTCAAGTTGGCCTCTCCTGGCCCAGATCCTGCCTCCCATCGGCCTCTAAAAACCCAGCCTCTGCCTCATGATGGCATCTCCAGACCCAACTATATGTCTTAGCTGACTATACAGCACACCTGGTGCCTCATAAAAACCTCTTTTGGCCCAGCTCCAGCCCATTTGCCATCAACCACTATAGGCCCAAACTGTCCTTAAGTTCACCCCTCCAGGCCCAACATCTGTCTCTCAGTGGCATGTAAAGGCCCAGCTTTAGCTTGAGAACACCCTCTGCAGAACCCACACTTTACTTCTCAAAGCCTTTTGGAAGCCTCTCTGGACGGACACAGCTCATGCCTCTTGCGGCCTCTCCGGGCCCATGTGCTGCCTCCTGGCGTCCAGTTCAGGCCCTGCTCTACATCAACAGGCCCACCTCCTACCTCACAAGAAACTCTGTCGACTCAACTCTTGCCCAGTTCCTGGTGGCCTTTGTAGGCCTGAAAGTTTCTCAAGTCAAGCTCTCCAGGCCCACCCAGCTCATGCCTCATGGTGGCCTCTCCAGGCTCAGCTCCTGCCCTCCGACAGCATCTCCAGGCCCCAAACTTGCTCAAGTTTACTTCTTTTGACCTGGCTATGGCCTCCTCCCGGTGGCCGCGGCAGGCCCAAATGGCCGTGCAGTCAGCCTCTCCAGGCCCAGCTCCTGCCCTTCCAGTGGCCTCTCTGGGCACAAATCTTTCTGACATGGGCTCCCCCAGGGTCAGCTCCTGCCTCCCAGTGGCCTCCTTTGGCCCAACTCCTGCCTCCTGTTTGCATCTCCAGGCTCAGTCTCTGCCTCCCTCATGGCGGCCTCCCTAGGCCCAGCTCTTCCTCCTGGCCACGTCTATAGCCCCAAGTCCTGCCACATGACAGCCTCTTTTGGCTCGGCTCCTGGCCAGCTCCTGGCAGGCTTGCCTTTGTAGGCCTGAAGCTTTCTCAAGTGGAGCTTTCTAGGCCTAACGTTTGCCTCCTGGTGGCCTTGACAGGCCCAGCTCTGGCCTCCCTGCAGCCTCCCCAGGACAAGCTGTTGCCTGGAAGCGGCTTCCCCAGGCCAAGTTCCCGCCTGCCTCCTGGCTGCCTCCACAGGCCCAACTCCTCCCTCACACTGGCCCATTGAGGCCCAGCTCATGCCTCTGGTGGCCTCTCCTGGCCCAACTCTGACCTCACACTGGCCTCTAGTGTAGGCCCAGGTCCTCCCTTGCAATGGCCCAGCTGTCTAGGCCCAGCTCATGCTTCTGATGGACTCTCCCGGGCCAGCTCCTGCCTCCTGGTGGCCTCTCCAGGCCCAAAGCTTCCTTTTGTGGGCCTCTCCAGGCCTGGCTCCTGCCTGTGGTAGGCCCCTCCAGGCCCCACCTCTGCCTCTCAGTGGACCCTCCGGGCCCAGCTCTTGGCCTCACCATGGCCTCTTCTCAGGCCCAGCTCCTGCCTTTTTGTCAGCCTTTATGTATAGGCCCAGCTGTGGCCTCCCAGTGGCCTGTTTAGGCTGCGTTGTTGCCTCCTGGTGTCCTTTCCAGGCCCAGCATTGGCTTTCTGGCATCCTCTCCAGGCCCAGAACATTTCCAAGTTAGCCTCTCTGGGCCCAGCTCTTCCTCCTGGCTGCGTCTACAGGCCCACTTCCTGCCTCGCCTCGCAATAACCTCTGTGGACTCAGTCGACTCCCGCCCAGCTCCTGGTGGCCTTTGTAGGCATGATAGGTCCTCAAGTCAAGCTCTCCAGGCCCACCCAGCTCATGCCTCATGGGGCCCTCTCTAGGCTCAGCTCCTGCCCTCTGATGGCATCTCCAGGCCCCAAACTTCCTCAGGTTGGCTTCTCTCGGCTAGGCTCCAGCTTCCTCCTGGTAGCTTCGGAAGGCCTAAATGGCCCTGAAATCGTCCTCTCCAGTCCCAGCTCCTGCCCTCCCAGTGGCCTCTCTGGGTGCAAAACTTTCTGACGTGGGCCCCTCCAGGGCCAGCTCCTTCCTCCCAGTGGCCTCCTTTGGCCCAGCTCCTGCCTCCCTTCTGGCCTACCCAGGCTTGGCGTCTGCCTCCCTCATGGAGGCCTCCCCAGGCCCAGTTCTTCTTCCTCGCTGGGTCTACAGGCTCAACTCTTGCTTCACAACAACCATGTTTGTCCCAGCTCCTGCCCAGCTTCCATCAGCCTCTGTAGACTTTAGTTTTTTTCAAGTCAGGTTTTCAAGGCCTTCCTTTGGCCTACTGGTGGCCCAGACAGACCCAGCTCCTGCCTGACCACATCCTCTTCAGCCCAGCTATTCCCTATATGGGCCGTTTCTGGCCTTGTTACTACCTGTTTTTCAGCCGTTTTGGCAGGTCTTTCATTTGCCTCACAGTGGCCTCTTCAGCCCCATCCTCAGTGTCATATCTGCCTCTCAAGATTCAGCTTTTTTTTTTTACAGTGGCTTTTCTTATACCAGCTTGTGCCTCACCATGGCCTCTGCAGGCTTATCTTCTGCCTCTTAGTGGACACTCCAGGCTCATCTCCTGCCTCATGGTGGTTTTTTCTATCCCGCACTTGACTCACAGTGGCCTCTTCTGGATCCAGCTCTATAGATCTTTGATTGTCAAGAGCATCAAAAGGCCCAAAGCTTCCCTGGACTGTCATTTGTTCACTTTTTAGCAGTGTGCCTTGGCGAAACACCTGTCTCTACTTTTAACCTTGAGAGTGTATTTTTGACAGAGCTGTAGCAAATTCTGCCTGTGTCTTTTTACAGTGATGTCTCTTTTATTTAGTGTCTCATGGTTCTTCTTGTCTTCTGGGGCTTCAGAGGGGAATGGGCCTCTGCTTGGGCTATTTGTCTTTGCCCTGGACATGGTAGCTTCTCATTTCATGTCTTGTTTTTTTATATTTTTTACAGTTAATTTTTTTTTTCTTAGGGTCTTGCTCTGCCTCCCAGGCTGGAATGTCATTGTGTGATCGTGGCTCCACTGCAGCCTTGGCCTTTTGGCCTACACTGGTTTTCCCAAGTCAGCATCTTAAGTAGTGTAGACTACAGGCATATGCCACCATCCCTGACTAATTTCTGATTTGGTTTGAGAGGTTGGTTCACACTCTGTTGCTTAGGGTGGTCTTAAACTTTGGACACTAGCAATCCTCTTGCCTGGGCCTCTCAATGTGTTGTCATTTGCTTGCCATGAAGTATTAAGAATTTACTTTTTGATTAATATGCTATGATTATATACATTTGTGAATATATAGATACTTTAAAGTTTCCTGAAATACCAATTTTTCCTTTTTCTTTTTTTTCGTGGCAAGTTACTGCTTTATCATTCAGGCTGAAGCACAGTGGTGTGATCTCAGCTCACTGCAACCTCTGCCTTCTTGGCTTAAGTCATCCTCCCACTTCAGCCTCCTGAGTAGCTGGGACCCTAGGTACAAGCTGCCATGCCCATCTAATTTTTATATTTTTTGTAGAGATGGGTTCTCAGCATGTTTCCTGGGCCAGTTTCAAACTCCTGGGGAAGTGATCCTTCCCCATCAACCTCCTGCTGTGCTGGGATTACAAGTGTGAGCCACTACGCCTGGCCTGCCATTCTCTTTTCATGGATCATTAAGAATTTACCTTTTAATTAGTATACTCTAAATATATATGTAGACTGTGTGTATATTTATATGTGAATATATGTGGGTGTATTTTCAGAGCATACATACACATTGTGAAAGAGATTTTTCCATACCTAGAAATTGATAAGCTTCTTCCAGCTTTTGAAAGCACCCTTAGCACAAACATGAAAGAAGAACAAAGTATCAATATTAATGACCATGGACCATATTAATGACCATGAGTCAATAGTACTTTGCACCTCAACCACCTTCCAGCAGAGCATCTCAAAGGGCTGAATATATCTGAACATCATACCCTTTCACATAGATTAGGGTGCTTTGTAATTATTACTTCTCTGGAGACTTCAGTGTGACCCTCATCAGTGTGAAATCAGAAACTATTTCCCAAATCATAGAGATGTTGAATAACAGGTTTGGTCAGGAAATAGTTATTGCATTTGGTTAGGACAAGCTCCTGGCCTAGGCAGATGGAATATTGCAGAAACGTGTGTGTGTACATTCTTGCACACAGATGTGGGGGTAGAAGCAGGGGTTGAATTTGATAAAACCAGAAGGGGACAGGCTGCTGGGAGGGGCACGTGTTTTGGCAGCAGCTGTGTAACTCCAGAGTTAAGAAATCATTGTAAGCTTCAGTTTTGTCTCCTGGAAAATAAAGATTATAATTCCTGCCTTGATATGTCAATTAGGTGGTCTGCTACATACAAAATATCTAGTATATAATAGGCTCTGAATAAATACTACTTGCTGTAGCTCATTATTAATCACTGCTTAATTTTTTAAAAAGTTTAGAATAACAACGGCTTTTGTAAAAATTATTAGTAATTATTATATAAAATCCAAGTCCTATAGAAAAGTACAAAGAGGCTGGGCATGGTAGCACATTCCTGTAATTCCAGCACTTTGGGACACTGAGGTGGGCAGATTACTTGAAGTCAGGAATTTGAGACCAAATTGAGCAACATAGCAAGATCCCATCTCTATACAAAATTAAAAACAAGTTATGGTAATGTGGTAGTCCCAACTACTTGGGAGGCTGAGGCAGGTGGATCACTAGACCCAGAAGTTTGAGACTTCAGCCTGGGCAACAGAGTGAGACCCTGTCGAGAGAGAGAGAGAGGGGGAGAGAGAGAGAGAGAGAGAGAGAGAGAGAGAGAGAGAGAGAGAGAGAGAGAGAGAAGAGAGAGAGAGGAGAGAGAGAAAAGCAAGTAATAAATTATGAAAAAAAAAAACAATTATTAACATTAGGTGATATAGCTGGGCACAATATCTCACACCTGCAATCCCAGCACTTTGGGAGGCTGAGGTGGGCAGATCACTTGAAGTCAGGAGTTCAAGACCAGCCTGGGCAACATGGCAAAACCTCATCTCTACTAAAAATTCAAAAATCAGCTTGGCTTTGTGGTGACCGCCTGTAATCTCTTGAGCCTGGGAGATGGAGGTTGCAGTGAGCTGAGATTGTGCCATTCCACTCCAGCCCAGGCAACAGAGTGAGACTTTGCCTCAAAAACAAAAGGTGATAATTAATTCAAAACTCTTTGTGCAAATAGGTAGTTAGATAAATAAATTGATTAAAAATAACTACATATTTTGTATGTGTTTTGGTTTAAATATATGTAACTTTTATTTTGTTTGATATAACAGAAGCTCAAAAAACAGAAGCTGAAGGTGGGAACATTTCTGAACTTCAGATAAATGCCTAAGTGCAAATGATATCTTTTCATTCAACATTCATTAAAATTATGAAAAAAAGTAGAAGTGTCACAATTCATTTTAATCTCCAGTTTCTATTTTCACTCACAGCTGCTTCAAAATCTATTTTCCAGTTTTGAAATGGGTGCGTGTTTTGGAGTTTGTATACTCCAATGTGTGTATGCTTGGATAACATCTTTCTTGGGATAATATTCTTGATTCATTTTGCCTGTTTTTAGTTCATTAAGTTCTGACTCTATTGTCATCTGGTTCTGGCTGGGGCAATGGGAAGCTCTGAGGCTGGCTGGAAGTTCTTCTCATATGTGTGTTACATTTTCCTGCCTAAAGGCCAGTGGAGTACTTTTTTTTTAATCATTGAAGTTCAATAGCTTAGCCAGCTGGCTCTAGGCCGGTCATTCTATATTAGTTTTTCCAGGTATATGGTGTGCCCTTTGACTACTGATTATATACTTCCCTGTCTCTGTATTCCTTCCTTTCCTTCTTTCTTTTTCACTCTCTCTCCTTTTTCTCCCTCCCTTCCTCCCTGCCTTTCCTTCTTCTTTCCCTCCCTCCTTCTTTCCCTCCCTTCTTACATTTCTTCCTTTCTTTCAAGACAGGGCCTTGGGCTCTCAGCCAGGTTCTAAAACAAAGTGGTGTCATCATAGCTCACTGCAGCCTCAAACTTCTGGGCTCAAAAAATCTTCCTGCCTGAACCTCCCATATAGCTGGGAATATAGGCATGCACCATGACACCTGGCTAATTTTTGTTA